GTAGCACTTGGATAGAACCACATGGGTGTTAAAGGCCATGACCTTGGGGGTTAAAGGCCATGACCTTGGGGGTCAAAGGCCCTGTCCTTGGGGGTCCTTTTCATGACAAAGCGTCCCGTCCGTTGCTGACACGTCTGGGAGAGAGTCGTCTGTGTTTGTCCATCTTCCTGGGCCTCTCCGGGATGTTGTCGTGTGGAGCCTCAGCCCCCCTGCCTGGGTGGCAGCCCCCCCCCCCCCAGCCGCCATAGCACATCCCAGAGAGGCTCCGAGCCTCCTGGTCCCATGGGTCTTTGCGTCTGGTCCATCGTGGGTGACCCCAGCTTTGAGTAACAACCTGTGGCTGGGGTTCCCTTTTGGGAGCAAGGGTGCAGCCGTTGGCGGGGTGGTGGGGAGGGGGTTCCGCAAGGTTCAGGCCTCTTAGCCACTCGCGCAAACGCGTGGCGTTCTCGGCTCCAGGCAGTTCTGCTGAGAGAAGGCTCACGTTTTCCGAGCTTTCTGGTAACGGTGGACCCCAGCGCTGTTCTTTCCCAGCGCGGTCTGGAGTTGCCAGAAGCCCTGCAAACAGAAGCCTGGCCGTGGGGGACCTGGGGCTCCTCTGTCCGGGCTGGCAGGGGGCTCTGCTCTCACCTGGGCGCCCGGGCAGTGCGTGTCCTGGCCTGGAAGGAGCCCCCTTGTGTGTCTGCAGCGTGGCTGTGCTGGGGGCCACTTTCCTGTCGCGTGTGTCGCGTCAGTGCTAGCTCTCCTCTTGGCTTGTGTGGGACGCCCGCTCCATGGTGAACAACATCCCGGCAACACCCGATGGCCGCGCTGGCGGAGTACAGACCCAGGATTCAAATCTGATTTCTTCTAGGGATTCCACGTCAAAGAAACTGGAGACTTAATTGACCCAGAGATTGGAGAGCAGGCAGAAAGCCCAGCTAATTTCATTTTATTTTTTATTTTTTTAAGATTTATTTTATTTATTTGAAAGACAGAATTACAGAGAGAGGTCTTCCATCCACTGTTTCACTCCCCAGTGGCCACAATGACCCAGGGCGGAGCCAGACCAAAGCCAGGAGTGAGGAGCTTCGTCCAGGTCTCTTGCATGGATGCAGGGCCCAAGCACCTGGGCCATCCTCCACTGCTTTCCCAGACCACAGCAGAGAGCTGGGTCGGAAGTGGAGCAGCCAGGACTCAAACCGGCGCCCACGTGAGATACCGGCACTGCAGGCTGGGGCTTTAACCCGCTATGCCACAGCACCAACCTGTTTCATTTTAAATTATCCAAAAGTGATAGCTGTTGTTTGGTATTCTGAGTAGTTTATTGAAAACATTTTTAAAAGATTTATTTATTTATTTGAAAGTCAGAGTCATATATATATATATATATATAGAGAGAGAGAGAGAGAGAGAGAGAGAGAGAATCTTCTATCTGCTGGTTCACTCCCCTAATGACCGCAATGCCTGTGGCTGAGCCAGACCATCTGGGTCTCCCTCGTGGGTGCAGGGGCCCAGGCAGCTGGGCCGTCTTCTGCTGCCGTCCCGGGCGCATTAACAGGGAGCTGTGCCGCCAGGTCCTTCCCCTGGGTGATTTTATTTGCGCCTCCCAAGGCTGTGAGGATGGGGTCCCTGCGGCAGCAAGGACCGCGGGGCTCGGCAAGTTTCCCCGCACCGGGGGGTGGGACAACCGCGGCGGCTCTGTGCGGGGACCGCCAGCCCCGGTGCTGGGGGCGGCGTCCCTCGCAGGTCCTAACGCCTGTTCTCTCCTCGTCCTGTGGCCGCAGACATCTGTAAGCTGCTGAAGGACATGGGCACCTGCAGGGACTTCGTGGTGAGGTGGTACTACGACGCGAAGACGGGCAGCTGTGCGAGGTTCTGGTACGGAGGCTGCGGCGGGAATGAGAACAACTTTGGCTCCCAGGAAGAGTGCATGAAGCTGTGCGCTCCAGGTGAGCAGGGCTCCTTCGTGTTCGGGCTTTTGCAGGTTCGAGGCCCCGCTCAGTCATTCCCCTTTGAAAGAGATCTGAGCGCCGGCGACTGTGACACATACAAAAAAGAAGAGGACCTGTAGCCTCCGACAAAGCACATGGGATCCATTCCTTTGGAATTATTTTGCTCTTGCAAGCATCCTTTTGTGCGCTTGAGTCTGCAGTAGATGCACAGTTGTGGAAAACCTCAGAGATCAGAGTCCCGTTTGTTTGACTTGAATAATGTGGCTTCCTATGGGTCACACAGTTGACTCTGGGCCGTGCACTATCTCCACTGTATCCGATTGGTCCTAAAAGCGACTTGGAACAGGGCCTGGGGTGGGTGGGTGCAGGGATGGGGAGGGCTCTGTGTGCAGGAGGCTGGGGGGCAGGAGTCAGCTTACAGAGGGTGCCACACACAGGGCGGGGCGGAGACGTGAGGTTAGCATCTGAGTTGGCCAGGGACATGGCGTCCTTTCTGGTTCACGACATGGCTTCCTCCCCTCCCTCTCTGCCCGCCCCCTCCCGCAGACTCTCCGCTCCCGAAGCCCGACGTGGAGGTCATCGGCGGGAAGCCGGAGGTCGAGGTTGAGCACGCGAAGCCCGAGGTGCAGGTCGTGCACGCGGTGGGAAGCTAAGCCACGTGGCGGGCGGCACTTACCTCTAGCAGCGGGAGCAGCCCCTGTCGGAGCCCGGGCGGGGCTCCCGCGCACGGCGCCCTCCGTGCTCCGACTGCCACTCGGATGGGGGGCCCTCCTTCTGCCGCATGACCTGTCAGTATGGTGCTATGTGTCTGTGGACCCTCGCTGGCCGCTGCCGCGGCGCAGGTGAAATCCCCGCGGGAGTTGTGTGCCAGGCCCGTTCGGCGGAACGTAAGGTCTGGAAGAGAACCCAAAGCCACAGCTCCTCTCTGCTTTTGCTGGGCTCCTGTCCCTCTGACGAAGCGTAGCTTTAGGTGGAAGCCTGCGTGGCCGAGACAGGCCGGGCCGACCTCCCGTTTCCTCCCCCTCCCTGGACCAGCCTTCAAGCTCACGTTCTTTCTCCAACGCCCCCAGCAAGCCACGTAGTTAGAAGGAAGCGAGACCCCTCACTCTCCCCGGCTCTCAACACCTCCGTGAAAGAACGAGAAGGGAAAGTCATCACAGACTTCCGGCATTCCTCCAGTGTTATGTGATTTTTTTTTTGTGCAGGGGGGGTTAATTTTAATTTTTAAATGTTTAGGAAATTTATACAAAGGAACTTTTTAATAAAGTATATGGAAAGTGTCGTGGGCGTGGCGTTCCTGGCAGAACCAGATCCTCCGCTGGGGAAAGCCGGCCCCCGGGTTTTCAGCGCAGGGGACCACAGAGCTGCTTCGGAAGCGAGCGTGTGGGAGAGCAGGCGGGGGCCCGGCCCAGTGACCGTGGTGCCCATGGCCGCGGGGACCCCTTCTGCGGGAGCCTGCACTCTCCCTGGCCCGATGGCGAGGCCGGCTGCCAGCCGCTCCTCTGGAGCCCCACTCCTCCTCCGGCCTTTGCTGTGCCCGGGCCGGCAGTGCCTGGGGAACAGGGCGGTCTCCCGGGGCTCCAGGGCCCTTCCTGGACACTCAGAGAAGCAGCAGGAGGTCTTGGGTTGGGATTCGTTTCCCCGAAACACCTTTTCCTCCTGACGCCAGAAACACCGCCGGCAGCAAGGAACGGCAGGTCCGGAATTCCCGCCCGCTCAGGAAGGGAACTGCATCCACTGGGCCGACGCGTGTGCCCCACAAGGGAGGCGGGCCCGGGTGTGGGCCACACTGCCCTGCAGGGGACTGCCCGGGGCCCTGCGGCAGCTCCCTGAGACTCCCACGCAGACCCCCGCGGGAGCCGTCTCGCTTCTCAGAGCGAGCCCTGTAGCTCCCAGGCAAGGGGCTTTGCGGCCACCCAGCGGGGGAGAGAGGGGAAGGGTGGCGTGGCTGAGGGACCCTCTGCCCGGGATTCGCGGCACTCTGGGAGGGTGTGGGGTTCGTGGTCCATGGCGCCAGGGTTTTCCTGCACCCTGTGGGGCCAGCAAGGGCTCCGGTGGCTCCAGGGGACTCCGCGTCATCGGCTGGGCCCTGGACCACCTCTGCTCCCAGGAGTCTCCTGGGGGGCTCCTCCCGGCCGCAGCACAGCCCACCCCACTCCCTCTGGTCATGCCCACCCCGTCTCTGAAGACCCCATGTAGCGTGAGGCCGACAGAGGCCCCATGGGGAGCGGCGGGGGGGACCGCCACAGACCCCTCCTAACACACATCCACGTGCCGGGGGCCCGTGCCCTGGGGCCCTTCTCAGCCATGGCGTCTCGGTCTGCAGCCCTGCCCCGCCCACAGAGCCCACGCAAGACTCCCTGGCTGTGTGTGTTCAGAGCGGTGCTCTGCAGCGGGCCGAGGAAGGTGAGCCCGGGGCAGCGAGGGGTGGGGCCTGGAAGTGTGCCACCAACGCGGGCATGAAGACAGCCGCCCTGTTCTCATGGTTCCGAAAGTCCAAAGTCAAGGCTTGCAGGGCTGAGACCTGTGGGGGAGGCTCCTGCCTGGTCTCTCCCTCCACAAGCTGCACCATGTCGCTGCGGCCTCTGCCACCCATGCCTTGTCCCCGTGCGTCTGTCTTCACATGGTCATCATCTAAGGACACCACTATGACGTCATCTTAACCAGTTACATCTGCTTGGACCCTGTTTCCAAACAGGGACACGTCCCAAGGTCCTGGGGTTAGAACTCCACCTCCCCCACCCCCCGCCTTTGGTGGTGACACAGTTCAACCCACAGCACAACCCTAGCTTTTCCAAACCTGCCGCCAGCTCCGACCAGTTGCTGTGCTAGGCAGCAGCTCCGGCGCCGAGTGGCAGCTAACGGAGCGTTTCCTGGCCATTTCCACTTAGCGCAACGTCACTGTTGGGTCTGCAGGCTGCCCGTTCTAAGACTGAATCTCAGATTGTGTTCAGTACATTCTGTCCTCAACCCTGGTGCAGGCTGGACTCCTGGCCCTGGTAGAGCCAGGCTTGGCCTCCGGCACCCCCTCCTTCCCCTCCCCCGCCCCCAGCCTGGAGGACTCGCTGCTGAGACCCCTCAGTGGCTCCCGAGGCAGGGTTCCCAGGGGTGCTGCTCTCCCTCTCACCTGCCCTGCCCTTGGCCCCTGTCTGTGGCGGGTTCCCCTTGGCGACTTCCTTGTGAGGCATATACGGGTTCTCTGCAGGGTGGCGGGGGGAGCTGCGGGTCTCACATGGGGCCTGGCTTTGTCAAATCCCCAGCTCCCTGCCTGCAGCCCCCCGTGTGGAAGTGCACCCACATGCCCTTGGTAGACGGCCTCTTGGGGGTGTGGGAAAGGTGACTTGCTCTGGCCACCTTCCTGGGTCACTGCAGGCGTGGGAAACCCCACACGACCTTGCCACAGCCACTGCCCTCCTGCTTCAGGCTCGGTGGAGGGGTGGGCAGGTGGCCCCTGAAGCGCTGGTCTTCGGCCCCTGACTCAGTGGGAGGGGGGAGGGACTCAGGAGCCTGCCCCTTTGCGGGTCTCTGCCAGGCCTCTCTGGGTGCTGGCTTCAGGCGAGGCGTTGGTTGGCCCGGTGTGGTGTCTGCAGAAGCACTGTGCATCCCCCCCGAGGCCCCTCCATCCCGGCAGCGATGGACGTGGGCTCGGCCTAGCGTGCTCAGAGCCGCACCCTGCGCCGTCAGCTCTGGGAAAGTGGGACCTGCCAGGCACCCGGCATCAGCCTCCGACGGGAGCTGCAGGGGCCGAGGCCCCGTGATGGGCGGGGGCTGCACTTCCCCAGCGGCCTCCCCGTCTGCCTGTGACGCGGACAGAAGACGGGCGCGATGGCCTGCTGCTGTGTTTGAGCTTGCTCCGCTGCAGCCCGGGGCCTGAGGACTTAGCTGCACGTGCTTATGTGGGAGGGCCCCAGCCCTCATGCACCCTGGCCCGGGGCCTGCTAAGTGCAGGTGGAAGCTCCTGGCACTCACAGGCCTGCAGAGTAGCAGGTGGTCAGGCCCAAGGCCTGCGGGCACGGCACCCGTGTCTGTAGCGTCCCTGGAGGGGCTGTCACGGCAGGCTGGGGTGGGGCCCACCGTGGCAGGACTCTAACCACTCCAGAGACGGGGGCCTCTGTCACTCGCTGCCCCATTGCCAGCACAACCACCCCCCTCCCACTGTGGCTCGTTCTGCCCACGTGTTGCTTCTCTGCGCCTGCCCCAGGCTGCTCAGAGTTGCTGGGAAAGCAGCACCCGGGCTCACCTGAGTCGGGAGAGTGGAGCCCACAGGGCAGGCGCGTGCTGGCAAACTTAGGGGAAGCAAGGCATTCGTAGGAGCTGGGCAGGGGTGCATGGAGCCCCCCACCAGCAGGTGCGGGTTGGCAGGATAGCTGAGCAGAGAGGGAGAGACACGGCGTGCTGGCACAGGGGGCTCGGGGGAACCATGCCCTGGTGAGCAGGAGGAGGGGTGGACAGAGCCGCCACTCCAGGGGCAGCCCTGGAAGCCGGAGCGGGAGCAGAGAAGGAGTTTGCAGAGGTGAGTGGGTCTGTGAGCCGTGAGAACCCAGCGAAGGCCCCTGTGGCTTCCGATTCTTCCCTGGAACGGGGCTGAGGGGGTTGGGGGCCAGGGCGGTGAGTCAGAAGGGCGGGCGGCGCGACTTGTGCACCTGCAGGTGGGAGAGTGGCTCCTGGGGACACCGGGGGCCAAGAGCGCCAGGTGAGGCTCGTCCTCCCTGCGGGAAGGTGCTCCCCCAGCCGCTCTGAGGCAGGCTCCAGGAAGGCAGCCCGGTGGCTCCCGTCAGCGCTGGGCTTTGCCCAGGTGGGTTTCATGGAGAGGGAGAGGGACAAGGCAAGCGTGAACTTGGAAGACTCGTTTCCACTGTCGATGCAGCCTGGGGTTACTGCAGGCGTGAGCCCCTGAGTCAGGACGGAGGTGAGGAGGTCTCAGGACCAAGAAGGCGCCGTGGGGTAGATCGGACCCCGGAGTGCGAGGCTCTGCAGGGGCAGCTGGTGCAGCAGGGCCACAGGGAGGTGGGCGGCTCCGAGAGCCTGGAGCTTTGCAGAGGGGAGGCAATGGCTTAGAAATAGGAATGGTCCCCAGGGGGACACGCGTCCCCATTCCTGCTCTATGGTGTGGGCAGTGGGAGAGGGCAGCCAGCTTCCCTGGAGAGGGCCACGGGCGTCGCCTGATGGGCGGGGGCTGGGGCAGGCGTGGGCAGGTGCCCACTGGCGACAGCCCTGGATGAGAGCTTGCGTGCCCCCCGGGGGCTGGTCACCGCCCGTCTCACCCTCATCCCTCCCAGCATGCTCTGCGGGGACTCCCTGTAAGTCCCTGGTGCCTGCCCCGTCCCCGCCTCCAGGGCTTTGCGCATCGTGGCCGCCCCTTTCCTGGGAGCACCCAGGCCACAGCCTCCGGCCTGCGAGAGGGGTCTTGTTGCTTCTCCCCCGAACACAACGGCTCTCTCCTGATTTGTGCCCATTATCCCTGCCCGGGGTCAGTGGCACATTTGTCCCCCAGCTGGATGGCAGAGCCCTGAGGAGGGCAGGGCTGGGGGCTCTGTCGGGGTCGTGGCTGGCAGGTGCGACCTTACCTGCCCACAGCCTCCCTGAAGGAAGAGCCAGCGCTGGGACACAGGGACGTTTTGCCAAAGACCTTTTGAGGGAAAGAGAAGCCGTCACACACGCCATGAATGCTTGCCTGCTCCCGAGAGTTCTCATTCTCTCCCAGCCACTTTGAAAACCAAGTGCTTGGCTAAATCGCCCGTCACAATCTCGGCTTGGGATGCCTCGGCCGTGGCGGGGTCTCCCCGGCCCCCTGTGGGGCTGCCTCCGGCTGGGCTCTGGAGGGGGCCCTGCCAATAACCCCAGCTGCACTGCGTTTTGTGACTAAGGAGGTTCTGTGGGGCACGGCGTGGAGGGCCTGGGCTTTTCAGCCGGCGTGAGCCCAATCACAAGTCACGGAGGCCCGGAGAGCGGGGACCTACCCGGGGGCTTCACACACCTCGTCCCAGGGGGTGCTGCTGCCCCAGTCTTGGGGGTCAGAAGGGTTTGGCTCACACAGCTGGGACCTCACAGGGCCCCTCGCATGCTGTCGGGACCCAGCTGCTCTCCCGGAGCCCTAGACGGTGCACCTGCAGGACCCTCTGTCACAGGCCGGGGTCCTCTAGCCGGTTCTGAATCGCATCCCTTCCAGAACCCGCCCCAAGGGCCTTGTCACTCTGGGGACAGAGGTCTCTATCCCTGCCCCTGCTTTTATTGAAGATCCTCCCCTCTCTTTCCCATGAGCCTGAGGGGGAGACCTGGGGAACAGGAGATGGTGGCCCCACGTCTGGGGCTTGGGCAGAGAGGGCCTGGGCTGGGGGAGGCTGCTGGGGCTCTGTGGCCCAGTCGCACGGTCCTCCCAGTCCTTCTGTGGGCATCTTTGCTGGGGTTTTGAATACAGATGCACAATTCCCTGCAGGCTGACAGAGGAATCCCCTCCCGTGTGCACGGGCGCTAGCCCCTCTGCGGGAAGCCACCCTCTGGCCCCGGGGGAGCACTTACGTTCCTTCCCACGTGGATGGGTTTCCGAGGGTGGTTCACATTTTCCTGCCAAATTCCCCCCGGCTGCCGGATTGACAGCTGGGCTCAGCCATGTGTTCTTGGGGCTCCCCCTGCCTGGGGAACAGTTTCTGAGATGTTGGAGCAGCCATTAGTGCCAAATCACCGGGCCCTGGGCGTCTCCCTCTGGTCTGACTCCGTGGGGCTTGGTGTGCCGGCCTGAGCTTCGCGTCTCCCGCCTTGCCTAGGAGCTGATGAGTGGCACTGAGCTCTCGCAGGCCCACAGGGTTCCCCGGGGGTCTGTCTGTCTGCTGGAGACCACATGCTCCAGACTTGGACCACCCCGCAGAGGGTGGGATCCTCTCCCATGCTACTCCTGATACTACAACCCACTCAGTGGGCAAAGCACCAGACCAGTAGTAGCGTCTTAAAACCCACTTGGGGGCCAGCGCCGCAGCTCACTAGGCTAATCCTCTGCCTGCGGCTCCGGCACCCCGGGTTCTAGTCCTGGTTTGGGCGCCAGATTCTGTCCCGGTTGCTCCTCTTCCAGGCCAGCTCTCTGCTGTGGCCAGGGAGGGGAGTGGAGGATAGTCCAAGTGCTTGGGCCCTGCACCCCATGGGAGACCAGGAGAAGCACCTGGCTCCTGGCTTCGGATCAGCGCAGTGCGCCGGCCACAGAGCGCCGGCCGCAGCAGCCACTGGGGGGGTGAACCAATGGAAAAGGAAGACCTTTCTCTCTCTCTCTCTCTCTCTCCACTGTCCACTCTGCCTGTCAAAACAAACAAACAAACAAACAAACAAACCCAGTTGGGGGATTGACACTGTGGAGCAGCAGGTTAGGCTGCCGTGGGCAGCACCAGCATCCCATATGGGCTCCAGTTCGAGTCCCAGCTGCTCCCCTTCTGACCCAGCTCCCTGCTACTGCACCTGGGAAAGCAGCAGGAGACGGCTCGAGTGCTTGGGCCCCTGCACCCGCGTGGGAGAGCTGGATGGACTACCAGGCTCCTGGCCGTGGCTTGGAACAGTCCCTGCTGTTGCGGCCATTTGAGGGTGTGAATCAGTGGCTGGAAAATCGCTTTGGAGTCTCTCCCTGTAACTCTGCCTTCCAAATAAACAAATAATAATTTCTTAAAAGAAATCCAGTTGTTGTAACCTGGAGACATTTGCTGGTGGGTGACCAGACTTAGGCAAGTATGAGAGGACCTTTCTGTTTAAAGAGGATGCCTTCCAAGGAACACCCAGGGTGGAAAATAGATACCGCTTTCCTGCCTTCCATCAGCGGTGCCGGCAAACGCCTGCTCCCAGAAGGCATTGAGGCCTCTGCAGAGGGAACCAGCCCCGCAGGCTTGATTTGCAGAGGGTGATGGATTTCTAGTATTTGCTTGGTTTTTCCAGGAGATGAAGCAGAAACAGCTCAATAAAAAGAAACTGGAGGAGCCCGTGTGGCTGAGAAAGCATATTTCGGATTCCAAAGACTCGAACTGGAGCAGCTGGGTTTCCTATGAATTCTGGTTCAGGTGGTTGACGGTCATTTGTGAACCAGACTGTGTGTGAGTGCCGGCAAAGCAGACCCTGTGCGAGCATTGGTTGTAGGTGGTTTGCATGGGAAGGAAGTCGGGAAGCGCCAAGGAGATGACGGAGACGCAAGACAGAGAAGGCAGGAAGTCCCTCCAGTGAGGGCCGGGCTCAGTCCGCGGGAGAGAGCACCAAGAGGAACAGGAAGCCACGTGTGTACCCGCTGACTCCTCTCCCTGGCGTCTGGGGTTGGAGACCCCAGTGTGAAGTCCAGCATTCCCAGACTTCCCTGCACACACGGCTAAGACAAAATCCTCGGGAAGAGAAGAGGAGGAGTGTGGCCCCGGGGTGGAGGCTCCCCTGGAACCACCTGCCACAGCGGCGGGCAAGCTCAGAGCAGGGCAGAGGAGCTCGGCACAACCGGCAGCCACAAGCAGCCCGTTTGCACCGGGCCTGTAGGAAGTGACGTGGAGACCGAGACGGGGCTGGAGCCCTCGGCAGGCCTCCCCGCACCGGGAGCCATGATGGACCATGTCTGAAAATGCTAAATGGAAAATCCCAGAAGTAAACAGGTTTTAACTTTTAAAATGCGCTCTGTCCTGAGCAGCATGAGAAAACATGACGCCATGCTGCTCCTCCTGGGACGTGGGCCCCACTTTGTCCACGGATCCCCCTGGAATGCCCCACCTGCCCGTTAGCCACTAAGTGGCCATTTCTCTTACTGGGTCCACTATGGTGGTGTCACGGTGTGGGTGTCCAGGTAACCCTTACTTTACATAATGACAGGGTCCAAGCACAAAAGCAGCCGTGCAAGGGAGCAGCAGAGCCCGTCCAGGGAGGTTGACTGGCTCCGGGGTGGCAGCCCCACAGGGCAGGCCAGATCTGTGGCTCGGGCACCCCCACTGTCCTCCCTGGGTCTGGGGGCAGCTACTATGCATTGTCCACTCCTCCTTACTCTAGAGGGAGGCGCTGAGGGGCTCACTGATGGAGCAGACATCCTGCAAACTCGCTGCAGTCCGCTGAGAGCCCAGCGGGTCCTGGAAGAAGCTTTCGGAAAAGGACCCCAGTCCTGTCCGGTGGCCCACGGGCCCAGCAAGAGTGATGGAGCCCATGGCGCACCCGGGCGGGATTTTATCTGCAGCTTCCGGCTTCCCAGTCATTTCTAGAACTCAGTCTAGATTTCCCGCACTGTTTCCATCTGTTTTTCTGTGAAACAAAAAGAACTTTGGCCGTGGAGTGCTTAGCCCTTAACTACACACAATAAATTGTCTCAAACTTTCCACCTCATCAAGGGAACAAAGGCTGTTCATGGCAGGACTCAACTTTAGGAAAACAAAAACAAACACGGACCATGTCAGAAGTAGCGCCTTGCATGCATTTTTATATTATTCAGGATAAAGGGAACTGAACTAGAATGTGTGGTTCTGCTCTGCTCTGCTCTGCTCTGCTCTGTTCTATTCTATTCTGTTCCATTCTATTCTGTTCTGTTCTATTCTGTTCTGTTCTATTCTATTCTATTCTATTCTGTTCTATTCTGTTCTGTTCTAGAATGTGTTCGGAACATGGCCTCTTGCTGGGAGGTGCCCTGGGAAGAGCTTGCACCGCGGATCGGGCCTGTTTAGCATCAAGCGCTGAACGGCCAAACAGCTTCGCTCTGTAAAGTCAGCCTCTGAAGGGAGTGTGTGAGAGGCTCGAGGGTCCCTGCCACGTGACTCACACAGGGGAGTCCCTGGCTTGGTTGCTTGTCCTTATTTGAGCTGTGCTGTAAAAATCCATTTTCGCTCACAGCGTGCTCATAGCAGGTCCTGGTGAGCTTGCTCATCCCCAGAGAGCTGTCCGGGTTGGGCAGGTCCCTGTGGGGCCCCTGCCCCCGTCCCTACAGCCCCCTGCCCTACCCCTGCAGCCCCCCTGCCCTACCCCTGCAGCCCCCCTGCCCCCGCCCCTGCAGCCCCCTGCCCCTGTCCCTACAGCCCCCCTGCCCTACCCCTGCAGCCCCCCTGCCCCCATCCCTACAGCCCCCTGCCCCTGTCCCTACAGCCCCCCTGCCCTACCCCTGCAACCCCCCGTCCCCGTCCCTACAGCCCCCCTGCCCTACCCCTGCAGCCCCCCTGCCCCTGCCCCTGCAGCCCCCTGCCCCCATCCCTACAGCCGCCTGCCCTACCCCTGCAGCCCCCCTGCCCCCGCCCCTACAGCCCCCTGCCCCTACAGCCCCCCTGCCCTACCCCTACAGCCCCCCTGCCCTACCCCTGCAGCCCCCCTGCCCTACCCCTGCAGCCCCCCTGCCCCCACCCCTGCAGCCCCCCTGCCCCCACCCCTGCAGCCCTCCTGCCCCCGCCCCTGCAGCCCCCTGCCCCTGTCCCTACAGCCCCCCTGCCCCCACCCCTGCAGCCCCCTGCCCCCGCCCTGCAGCCCCCCTGCCCCCACCCCTGCAGCCCCCTGTCCCCGTCCCTATAGCCCCCTGCCCCCATCCCTACAGCCCCCCTGCCCCCGTCCCTACAGCCCCCCTGCCCCTGTCCCTACAGCCCCCTGCCCCCATCCCTACAGCCCCCTGCCCTACCCCTGCAGCCCCCCTGCCCCCACCCCTACAGCCCCCTGCCCCCGTCCCTACAGCCCCCCTGCCCTACCCCTGCAGCCCCCCTGCCCTACCCCTGCAGCCCCCCTGCCCCGTCCCTACAGCCCCCTGCCCCTGTCCCTACAGCCCCCCTGCCCCCATCCCTGCAGCCCCCCTGCCCCGTCCCTACAGCCCCCTGCCCCTGTCCCTACAGCCCCCCGCCCTACCCCTGCAGCCCCCCTGCCCTACCCCTGCAGCCCCCCCTGCCCCGTCCCTACAGCCCCCTGCCCCTGTCCCTACAGCCCCCCTGCCCCATCCCTGCAGCCCCCCTGCCCTACCCCTGCAGCCCCCTGCCCCCATCCCTGCAGCCCCCCTGTCCCCATTCCTACAGCCCCCTGCCCCCCTGTCCCCATCCCTACAGCCCCCTGCCCCCGTCCCTACAGCCCCCTGCCCCTGTCCCTACAGCCCCCCTGCCCCTGTCCCTACAGCCCCCCTGCCCTACCCCTGCAGCCCCCCTGCCCCGTCCCTACAGCCCCCCTGTCCTACCCCTGCAGCCCCCTGCCCCCATCCCAACAGCCCCCCTGCCCCCGTCCCTACAGCCCCCCTGTCCCCGTCCCTATAGCCCCCTGCCCCCATCCCTACAGCCCCCTGCCCCTGTCCCTACAGCCCCGCTGCCCTACCCCTGCAGCCCCCCTGCCCCGTCCCTACAGCCCCCCTGTCCTACCCCTGCAGCCCCCTGCCCCCGTCCCTACAGCCCCCCTGCCCCCGTCCCTACAGCCCCCCTGCCCCCGTCCCTACAGCCCCCCTGCCCCCGCCCCTGCAGCCCCCCTGCCCCCACCCCTGCAGCCCTCCTGCCCGACAGTCAGGCCTTGTATGGCAGCGCTCCGTGCCTCTGGAAGCGGTTCCGCGGCAGCGTTCCAGCCTGCGCACATGGAACCCATCGCCTGCCGTGAGCAGGGAGCTTCTGCCAGCGTGGCAGAGAGGGCTAAAAATAGCTGGCTGCCGCGGCCGGCTTTCGGCCACTGCGAGAGGTGGGAGCCGTCTGA